AAGAACATAAAAATAAATAAAATAAAATAAAATTAAAAATATTACACCGTAAAATTTATTGTCAAATAAAAGTGACATCATTCATGTGTTGGTGGCAATACTTCAGTGAAAATTTATTTAGAAAACGTGTTATAGTATTTTATTTTGTGACAAGAAAACGTGTTATAGTGACATTATTTACGTAATAATAGGACTTGAGTCGTCAAATTTTGTATAGAATATCCATAACCGTAGAGCTGCCAAATTGTTTTAAGCAAAATTTTATTATTTTTCTCTAAATTATTTGTATCTCTCAAAATTTAATGATCGTCCGTATATATATTTTTTTATCATCCGTCCCTATATTTGTATTATCTAAATTTCCGTTTACAGAATATGTTTGTAAGTCGTTTGGTCGTATATAAAAACATATCATTTTGTAATTTCAAGTTGACTTTCTTACACCAAATATAAAGTTTATCAATCAAATTAAAAACCAAATAATTTTTGAAGACCACAAACCTTTCCGACATTCACTGGTAGCGGCGTCGGCTCGCGGTATAGAAATGATAGCTTTGACCACTTATTCCGTTTTTCAACTTTTTATAGGAGTTCCACTAGTTGAACTCGAATGAGATATAAATCAATTGATCCTTTATATATTAGTTGAAAAGTCATACAACATTTGAGATAACTATGTGTCTAAGAACAATGATTTTAGAGTTTTTTTTTAAACATAAATTGATTTGTTTAAATATATATGACATTATTTATTTAAATATATATGATATTATTTATTAAAATAATTATCAAATTAATTAGTAGTATATAAAAAATATTTTTCATTTTTAAATAAAAATTATGAAATTATCTATTATGATAACATATATATGAAATTAATGATTGAATAATAAAGATTTGATAACAATTTTTGTATCATCCATTATTTTTATTTAGTTTTATATTACTAAAAGATATTAAACAATCAATTTAATCATATAATAAAATATATATTTTCTTATATGTTATTTTGAATTTTTTAAAACGACTATAAATTACTAAAACTAATAAAAGTCTCACACTACAATTTTTGTGATCAATGTTTTAACTTATTTTTGTTATAGAAATGTATAAATGATTATAAAGTCATATGAATTTGAATTCTCATTTAATAATTTCAGACCAAATTAAAATATATATACCTATTTCAACATGTTTAAATTAAAATATATACATATATAAATATGTTAATTTTTTGCATTGAAAAAGTATTGAGATTTTAATATTTTAATTTTAAAATTTGTATTGAACTTTTTAAAACAATTAGAAATTACTAAAATTATTAAAAATCTCATATTGACAACTTTGTGATTAATGGTTTAAGTTTTGTTGTTATAACAAATATAAAAAATGTTACTCAAATCATATAATGTAAAACCTCAATTAATATTTTTTTGTAAATATAATATATGTTTATGTCTATATCATTTAAATTTAGTTATATATTATACATAATAAATATAATATATGTTTATTCCTATTTAATTATATACATAACAATTGCTCGCTTTTCAATTATTTAATATATTTATTATTGCTTAATATGTAATTGAACACAAAATAAATAAAAATATATAAAATAATTTGTATATAATTTTCATTCCGTGAAAACGCGAATCTTAACCTGTTCTTTATATTATACTTGAACGTCTGATTATAGTTTTTTAAAAAATCGTAGCATCTGTAATATTTATTATTATAAAATGAATCATTCAAAGATTAGTTATATCATCTACAGAAAATAAAGTCAAAATATTTAGAGATTTGAATATTATATCTATCTTATTAAAGTTGAGGTACCTTTTTGAAATATTCCTTAATTTTTTATATTTATTACAACTGTGACACTTTCATTAATTTTTATACTGATATTAATTATTTAAACTAAACAACAATATTTCTTAAATCTACTCAAAATGTGGAGTTAATTATTTGTGGTCTCCGGTTTGTTTCCATCTTATAAAATAGGATTCAATAATTATTCATAGTTTTAGAAAGAGATTTGTTATTATACATAAACATACTAATTGATGTTTTAATTTATACGTAAATACATCATAAAATGGTTGATATATTTAAGAATTATTAATTGATGAATATCTTATATAACATATCATTTATTAGTTTAATATATAGCCATAATATGAGCAATGATCAGATTATAAACAATTAAAAATTGATTATAACAATTATTTTATATTATAAATCGAACAAAAAATTATATGAACACATGCTTGTATAACCATTACGTTCTTGTGCTGTGGATTTTTTCATATGTTAGTTTTATTAAAATAAACACACCTGTGGATGTACGGATCAACATGTTAGATATTGTTACTATGTTACTAGCCTGCCAAGAGTGGGCACCCTATAAAAGAGACCGCTCTCCATAAGGATTAGTCCAATTTGAAATTGAGAAAATTAAATGAGATACGGTCCGCATCAAACTTCAATGGGCCTATACTGTGCCTAGAATAAACAACTACAAAAGTACAAAATTGAGACTAGGGTCCGTATAGTTCGGACTTTTTAATTTTCTTTGGTTTAAACAGGCCTCTAAACTGAAAACCTTCCAAATCAATTATGTCCATCCACAGAACCGAAATGGGAAAAAAATACTACAAATCAGTCACACAGGCTTAAGTGTACATAATTTTCAAATATTCTTTTGCTTTCACACTAAAGTACAGTCATATTCATAATTATATGAAAACATTCGAGCTGGGAATTAATAGAAAGATGGTCTTACGCTTTCATAATGTCAAATCATTTTCATGGATCACTATTTTCTTACTTTACGTCCCTCACTGCACAACAGAAGAGTATCACGCAACTATCAGCATGCTTGAGATTTAGTAGGGATTACATTTGCAAAATACGAAAACAAATGTTTTTTTTCTTAACACCACGAAAAGAAAATTTAAAAGAAGAAACAAAACTCTGGAAAAAAAGTTAAATGATATGAGAGAAAAAGATATGGTCCAGACCCAACTAAAACATAGTTTCTCTGACTACCACATCTTTTAAATTTTTTCTTAGTATAAAATAGCTTTACTTTCTTTTAGTATTAAAGAATACAAGGATACGTATGTTGGATACGCTACGTGTTGTAAACCCATTGCTCACATGCTTGACTGACAGCTAGTTTCCGACAGACGAACTTTTATTAAAAAGATGGACTGATCGGCACGTGCTTTATTACAGCTGACTTGGCAGAGAATGTAGGATGTTTTGGAGATGAAGTGGGCCCTTTGCCACGTGGTTACCAGCTTGGCATTGACAGGTTATGCCTTGTCGGATTATACATCTATATCTTTTATATATGTGTAATTATTTCCGTCAAATGGGGATACAATTTTGGATGTTAATATGCAGTTGTTTAGACTAAAGTAGCCAAATCGTGATTGTATGTAAGCTCGAATCTCAGTTTGAACATAACACAACTCAATATAAAAAAGAAATTTTTTACTAATGTTTAGAAAATAATTTAAAACTAAATACCTTAAATCTATATCGAATTATTGTCATAGTTCGATTTCAATATGTATAGTAGTAATAGTATCTTCTTTTTTTGATCAAAAGTAGTAATAGTATCTTCTATTTATTTTTTTTCTTATAGTAATTAGATAACTCCTAACATTGTGAGGAATGTTAATATACATATTTCCTAAACGACTTATTAATGGAGACTTAGGAACAAACTATTTTAAAAGTTTACCAACATAAACATCACATAGAAATATTTAAGTTAGTATTGAGAAAACCAGTCTCTTTTACAAGAATTGTGAAAATAGATTAAAAAAAAAAGATTCTCCGAATTTAAGAATCCGGGTTTATATATACTTCTACCAAAACAAAACCATGATTATACTAGTAACGATTTGGCATTCATCTTATAAATTCAGACAAGTTCTTGTCGAATGAGACTGCAAACAATTAATACAAAGCGTAGACAACAAAGATGTTAGCTTTCGAAATGAACAATATCTGCAATGATTCTCAAAGGTGGACTAACAAAATCTAATGGTGTTCTTTCGTTCACATGTCTAGGCAGGAGCCAAACCTGATATTTATTTACAAAACCCTGGTCGAAAATAATCAAAGAAGACATATATATATGTATACGCCAAGCACATCAACTTTGATTAGTAGTAATATAAACTTGTTTTAGCAACTTAACTGGGTTTATAAAGCTGTGTTAGAGTTTGATTGTATTTTTCCTGTGTGACGTAAAGTGCCTATTTCGTTTAACTTTTATAGTACCTACGAACAATGCCTACAACTGTAAAGCATTCCATAATATAATTGTATAAAACCTTGGACGGACAAATATGCTAATTATAATTAACGAACACACTGTATATACATCAATAACATCGAGCTTCGACTAGCAATATGAACTTGAGTTAACAACTAACCAGTCTAATACGGTACGTAATTGTATACACTTTTTCTTCAAATATTTTATACATTACTAGTATTTGTACGACTTTTTGCGTACGTACATCTGACTTTTATCATTGTGCGTAGGTTTCTCTTTTTCAAATTAAAACTCTGGAGGAATAACCACTACTAATATACATATATTCTGAAAAAGGCTTTTTAGCTAAACCAGACACTACGAACCAAGTGTTTCTCTATATCTATAAATGATTATACTTTTAGAAAAGAGAAAATCCGACGTGGCAACAAAGGAAGATGGCTAAAATCTTTTAAAAGGCACTAGAACAGGGGAATCAAAAAGAGCGTGAAAATGATCTTCAAAATGCCCACTTTGTAAACAACACAACAATGTGGCTCTCACAACTTCACAGGTCTCTCTCTCTCAACACCCACTTTATCTCTTTCTTTTCCATGCACTATTGTCATTAATACCAACCAACCTCAGCCCCTTGTATTATTCTCTTCTCCATATCAGTCTTTTTTTTTCTCTGACTGATAAAAAAAAACAGAGTAAACGATATCTCTAGAGGAATTATTTTTTCTTTGTTAAGTTCAAAAATGAGCATGTTGAAACCTAGGGACAGGGAGATAAAATTGTTTGGGAGGACAATTACATCTCTTTCAGCTGTAAATCATTTTGATCCGTCCTCGTCCATGTCTCCTGTTCAGAGCAAGGAGGCTTCCTCATCTTCTTTTTCTCCTCTGACTATATCAAACATGGTATGCTTTTTTTTTTTGTAACAATCAAACATGGTATGTTTTGTGTTAATTTAACTTATAAACGAACTTAGTCTGAGATACCTCAATTTCACTAAGATTAATTTGAGATTCTGAGAGATACCCATTTCTCAGCTGATAGAATCTTCAAAATGGGTCGAGGTTATTTGCTTCGGCTAAAGATAAGGCTGTGGCTAATCCTAATCAAAGTTCTGCTAAAATATTAGGTTATGGCTAATAACCAGGAGCAAGACAATAGCAGATTCAAATCTCCTTGCATATTATCCGATCTTAACCAACCGCCAAGAGCAGTTTCAGAGATTTCATCACCAATAAGCTCCAAAACCAACGGTGATCAACAAAGCGAGATCACAACAACAACAAGTACATCAGAAGATAAACCAACTACTCTCAAGAAACCGGACAAGATTCTTCCGTGTCCGAGATGCGAAAGCGTAAACACCAAGTTCTGTTACTATAACAACTACAACGTGAGCCAGCCACGTTACTTCTGTAGGAACTGTCAGAGGTACTGGACAGCTGGTGGATCCATGAGAAACGTCCCCGTTGGCTCAGGTCGCCGCAAGAACAAAGGATGGGCTTCTTCAAACCATTACTTGCAGGTCACGTCTGAGGATTATGAGAACAACAACAATAATAATAATTATAATAACTCGGGAACGATCCTTAGTTTCGGTTCTTCAAAATCTTCGGTTACAGAGACTGGTAAGAATCAAGAAAACAAAACTCACCAGGGGTTTCTTCCTACGCAAGTAATTTTACCTAATAATTCACCTCCTTGGCCTTACCAATGGACTCCAACGGGTCCTAGTGCTAGTTTCTACCCTGTCCCTTTCTACTGGGGCTGCACGGTTCCTGTATGGACTACCTCAGAGACTTCACCATGTTTAGGGAAAAGATCAAGGGATCAAACTGAAGTAGAAACCAAAGATACTACTACTATTACTACTCTTAGAAGTACCGAAGATACTAAGAACGTGGTGTGGCCTAAGCTACCGACAAAGCCTGAGAAGACAACGGAAGGATTCAGTTTGTTCAATGGATTTGAAACAAAGGGTAGCAACAGAAGAAACTTGGTCCCTGAAACGTCTGTTAATCTACAAGCAAACCCTGCAGCGATGTCTAGATCTATGAACTTCAGGGAGAGCATACAACAATAATCAAACACTGATATAGTATACATACAAATTATTCATGCAGTGAGATAGAATAAGCTAATTGTTACCTTGTAGATATTTGTTGTTGGAACTATGTATTATTTTTGTTCACAAATAGAACTATTCTCTAGATATTTCTCTCCATTGTGTGATGAAGTTGCAACATATATATAATGAACTTTTAGATTAATATCTCCCTGATCTATATGCCACGTTGACACAAAAAAGTGAATGTACAGTTACGTATTTGCCCATGGTTACAACAAATAAATATGAACTCTTAGCTGCAATTGTCCCCTCTGGTAACTGGTAAGTGCATGTGAGAAGAACATAATGGCTTCAGATTGTTATTAGCTTGTAAGTATACGGTTAGTGTAAATGGGTGAAGTTAGTAAGATAAGTGATAACTGATAAGGATAACAAATTAACAAGTATATGAAACCAAAGAAAAATAAAGATAGCAGAGCATCTTTCACTTTCATTCTTGGATTAAAGATAAAGAATCCATCCAACCACTACTAACAGCACTCATAAAGCCTAAAGAAGAGCATAAAGTCTCCTTTTCTGATAACAATTCTCTCTTTTCCAACGTCTTTTTCCTTCCTTTTTTCATCTCACTACTCTTTTTTATGGTTACTAACAATGCAAATTTTCTTATTAGCAATAATTTGTATGTGGATACTATTGGAGATAATTGTGGACCACCCATAAAAACTGGACATGTAGAATGTGTAATTTGTCGACAAAAAAAAAAGAATATGTAATTTTAATATAACCAATTAAAACTCACAATTATTTTATTGTATTTTTGAGGGTAACAAATCAAAACATCTCTCTATTGTATTTGAATGAGCAGGCAAAGGGTTCCCATTCCATTACCCTTACAAAAATTTTATTATTTAAGAGACGTGAGATGGTTCCTTAACATAGTCACAGCCAAAAACAATAATTTCATTCCACTGTCACTAACAAAACACTTGTTTAACTTAAGTGCGATATAGAGCAAATAGTACATAACAAAGGAAGAGTCCTTGTTTGCTTCCCATTGATCAGGAGCTCTGTTTCGACCTCTTCATAAGCTCAATGAACTCTCTAAACGCTGCAGTCACAGACAAACAAATATAAATATTACTTCTCTTCTGTTATTTTTTATGACACAACAGTAAGCGAAATGTCTTTGAGTGAATACGGATTTAAAGTCTGAGAAAAAGAAAGGGAAGTTACCGTTATCAGAGTCGTGAGGTCCAGGGGATGCTTCAGGATGGTACTGGAGAGACATGACATTCATGGCAGGGAAAGATAAACCCGCACAGCTTCCATCATTGAGATTGACATGTGTCACTTCTACGCCTCCCGGAAGTGAAGCCGGGTCAACCGCATAGTTGTGGTTCTGCCAAGAATAACATTATAAAAGAACACAATGATAAACCAGATTCAGATTTAGTCAAACTTTGTAACAATGTTCCTAGCACAATCGTGTTAAAACTCCACGTTTTGAATAATGAATGATAAAGTTGCAAGTTCTAAATGGTTTCAAAGTTTCAAGCTCTGAATGTTAAACTACGAACTTTAGTTTAAAGTACAGAGAACTGAGATAGAAAAGGAAAGTACCTGAGCACTGATCTCGACCTGGCCAGTTCTGTTATTACGAACTGGATGGTTCCCTCCATGATGACCAAACTTCATCTTATAGGTTTTACCACCCAAAGCTTGGCCAAGCAACTGATGACCCATACAGATTCCGTAAACAGGAACTTTACCGAGAAGCTCTTTGACTGTCTCCACAGCATATGGAACAGCAGATGGGTCTCCAGGTCCGTTGCTGAACAAAATCCCGTATGGATTCATTTTAAGGGCCTCAGAAGCTGGAAATGTTGATGGAACAACGGTGATTTGACATCCGTAAGAGGATAGGCGTCTTAGTATGTTATGCTTGATGCCAAAATCGTATGCAATAACCTATCAAAGTCCAAAGAGAGAGAGAGTAAGAAGTTGGTGCATAGCATCATCATAAGAGAATAACTAGAGGAGAAGTAATACTGACTCTGTAGGATTTGCCATCGTGTGAATTTGTATTAAAATCCCATTCAGGGTCTGTTTTGTCGACCCACTCGTAGGGAGATTTACAGGAGACATCACTTATTAGATCAATACCTACAAAGATTCCACCAAGCAGACAAAAAGAAGTTCAATATCCCAAGTAGTTCAAATTATAATGAAACACATAAGAGAACAGGGGAAAAATAGGAGAAATCTGACCTACTATATCCCATGAACGAGACATTTGCAGAAGCTCTTCGTCTGTTTTGGTTTGTTCTGTGCTTAACACACCGTTAAGACTACCTTCTTCTCTTAGTCGACGAGTTATTGCTCGAGTGTCAAGATCATCTGAAATGATTAAGTAAATCAGTAACCAGAGATGCTTTCAATTTTCAAAACCAAACTATTTAGTATGTGGAATCTATTATAGCATCATGACAACAAAAAAAAAAACTTACAAATTCCCATTAGGTTCCTTTCGGTAAGATAGTCAGCAAGTGTTTTTGTGCATCTCCAGTTCGAGGTACTGAAAACATTTGCATTTTAAAGGGTTAGAAAATTTAAAAATAGAGGATAGAGGAAAGAAAAGACGACAGCAGAATGAGAAAATTACCTGATGCTTAGACTTCTAATCACCAAACCAGCAAGGAAGCATTGCTCAGATTCTTCATCATCTGCAACATAACATTACAAGTGTAATAAGAAACTTGCGTTAACTATCAAAATTTCGAGACTTTTCAACTTACCGAGATTGACACCGGTGTTACCGATTTGTGGGTTAGTCATTAGCACAAACTGTCCAGCATAACTAGGATCAGTCAGAATCTCTTGATACCTTTTCAAAGACAAACACATAACCATCAAACTCCGGTTAAAAAATGCAGTAATAAGCTCATATATATTAAAATAAAACAAAGCTCACCCAGTTAAGGAAGTGTTAAAGACCAATTCAGCAACACGAGTACCAGGAGCACCAAAGGACTTAGCAGGCCAGATGGAACCGTCTTCTAACACAAGCCTAGCGTCATACGAACTCCATGGCTTCTCCACAACACCTACTACCACAAAGGCAAATACTTTACATCATTTTGATGCTTGGAAATTTCGAAAGTTCAATCCTTTTATTCAAAAAAACGTAATTCCATTGAGAGAGGAAGTTACCAGAGGCGGCGGAGCCAGTGGATGAAGTGAGAGGAGAAGCGGAGCATCTGACGACCGAAACTCTAAATCCACCGCGGCGGGGAGATAAACTGGTCGGCAAAACAAACCCGAGAGTAGTCATCGTCGTCGTAGCCGCCGCCATGGTTGTTGTTTCTCTCACTCTCCACAATCGACACTGCAAGCAGAGAGCTTTGAGGAAATGTTTGAGGGTTTTGGCCAATTTTTTAAAACCCGGTTTGGTTTGATGTTTAAATTGCTCTAAACCGGCTCTGTTTCCGGTTTGAATTAAAATTCAATTTAAAAAATGCAATGAATACATACAATGATACAAATATATATTTTGAAAAACATTTGTATCAACAGCCATTCAAAATAAACATTTGTATGCATTTGTATCAAAATGCAATTCAATTCAAAGATTTTCTGATCGAGACTAAAAACATATGGTTTTGCAACAACAGCCTCCAACTAGTTAAAGGTCCATGCCAGAAAGGATCTCTTTGAATGACTCTGTTTTAGCTTCTTTTTTTTTGGTTACCATCTAAAAGTGTAGTGTTAATACTCTGATTCCCTTTCTCAACTTAAGAAGAAGCGAACAACAATAAGTCCGAGTAAGTCAAATGAAGACTATACTATTTCCAGATGCTAATAAGAGAAGAGACACTGTTGGATTGTCAAAGAATGTGTCGTCACTCGTCAGTGAATATGACTAGATATTAGAGCTATCATCCACTAAGAAATGTGACAAGACTATCACTTGCGAAGGCTGAACTTCTAACTCTTAATTTTTAATTTGTTGCTAGCTAAAATGGTAGTCTTAGATCGGCATAGGAAGAATATTTTATGTATGTATACGATCAGAATACTGAAACGCCCCTAAACATGCCTAGACTTGGGCCTGAGTCTGGGACTGGACCTAGACATGTGTTCACTAATTTGTGAAATGAAGTATGAACTTCAGGTCCTAGCGGAATCCAAATCAGTGTAAAAAGTATGCAACATCATCTAGCCTCTTTGATAAATATAGCACCGTCAAATAATATAGCCGTCCCGTAGCTCTGCGAATGGCATAAAGCACAATTAAAATTATTTGACCATTTAATGTAGATGGTAATGGTAAATAGTAACACAAAATGCCTATAATAATTATTGATTACGGTTAGGATAGAAATTGGATAAGAAAAAGATCGAATAAAGGTATGCTAACTCAAAGTCAAAGCAGGTACCAACATTTATCAGTAATATGAAAATTTGCCATATATAATGTGACTTGAAGAAAGTGCTTCACTTGCACACTAAAATATTGATCTATTTGACGATCTCACATTTATTTATTTCAGTAAATAAAATTTATTTGGCAAAAGCATTGATACTGCATAACAATTCCTGTATTCCACCATCATGCAAGTTAACAGTCGCATTCCTATTTGCAGATGAGGAAAGCAGCTCTTTCTCTTTTGACCGCAGAAATGTATTAGCTCATCAAAAGTACAATGACGTTTACAACTTAATGCATAGTATAAAAGAAATAACTAAATGATTGGGTACAAGAGTTATTATAATAAGGAATAAAAGAGGAGAAGAAGGGGACATGTGGATGACATGAGGTTGATGAGACGCATAAGTAAAGAAGCAATACAAGGAGAAATTTGCTTGGAGGGAACAAAAACAATGCAATGGGTGTGAGAATAATTAAGAGTAGATGTTCGGACATTTTGTTGCAGAATCTGAGCCTGAATCTTGCAAGATGCGACCTCATCAATATCGCATGGTGTTTGTAATTTCTGCATACTCCAAAAAACTACAAACGTACAAATATTCTCTTAAGTTTGACTTCTCTATCACCGATCTCTCTGTTACTCTCTTTTTTGTCGCTTCTTAATTCCACATCATCGTCCCATCTCTAACATATGTCATCTTCCCCTTCATATATGAAGCATGTTGTTGCTCTTACTCCACATTAATGATGGAACGTGACACTTTCGTATAAGGCCCTGTTCGTTTGTACATCTGAAAGATGTATCCAGATGATCCATCCAGATGTCTTATCCAGATGTTCCATCTGAATGTTGTTCGTTTCTCTATTTCGTCTATACATCTAGATGAATCATCTGAATGTAACTATGTTCGTTTGTTTTTTATTTTTAACTTGCATCTGCATCCAGATGGATTTGTTAATAAAATGAATAAAATAAATTTGTGTTTATCTTTTTAGCGGGAAAATGCATTTTTATGATTTGATGAAAAATGCGTTTTTCTAGTTTTGCCAGAAAAATTAACGTTTACGATTTTGACACGAAAATGTGTTTTTACGGTTTTAGCGGGAAAACACTTTTTACAATTTTGATGGGAAAACGCGTTTTTACGGTTTTGGCGAGAAAACGCATTTTTGCAGTTTTGGCGGGAAAATACGTTTTTATGGTTTTGGCGTGAAAACGTGTTTTTGCGGTTTTGGCAGGAAAACGCGTTTTTGCGGTTATGGCGGGAAAACGCGTTTTAGCAATTTTGGCGGGAAAATACGGTTTATGGTTTTGGCGTGAAAACGTGTTTTTGCGGTTTTGGCGGGAAAACGCGTTTTTGCGGTTTTGGCGGGAAAACGCGTTTTTGCGGTTTTGACGGGAAAACGCGTTTTTGCGGTTTTGGCAGAAAAACGTGTTTTAGCAGTTTTGGCGGGAAAATACGTTTTTACAATTTTGACGAGAAAACGCGTTTTTGCGGTTTTGGCGGGAAAACGTGTTTTTGCGGTTTTGGCGAGAAAACGCGTTTTTGCGGTTTTGGTAGAAAATGTGTTTTACAGTTTTGGCGGGAAAACGCGTTTTGGCGGGAATGCGTTTTGCGGTTTTGGTAGAAAAAGCGTTTTTACGGTTTGGCGGGAAAACGCGTTTTTTGCAGTTTTGGCGGGAAAATATGTTTTTACGGTTTTAGCGGGAAAACATATTTTTACGGTTTTGGCGTGAAAATGCGGTTTTGTGGTTTTGGCAGGAAAATGCATTTTTCGGTTTTGGCGAGAATATGTATTTTTGCGGTTTTGGCGGGAATATGTATTTTTATGGTTTTGGCGGGAAAGTGTATTTTTTGCGATTTTGGTGGAAAATACATTTTTCGGTTTTTACGGTTTTGGCGAAAAAATCATTTTTTATTTGAAAAATTATATTTATTTTAAAAGGTTATTTTTGTCATTTATGATTTTAAACTGAACTATATGCATCTGCATCCAGATGCACTATCAAGACTCACCCTCATTTGAGTGAGAATTTGAGATGAGTTTTAAAAAAATCAGTTGGGTGATCCATCTAGATGTAGCATTTTAATGTACAAAACGAACATTGATTTGCATCTTCACCCAGATGGATCACTTGGGTGAGCAAACGCACCCAAACGAACAGCACCTAAGTTAAAGTGTTGGTTGGAACTATAAAGTGGTACATGTTTATACTTCAAATCAAACTTTGCTTTTGAAAGTGAGACAATATGGCATGTACATTAAAGCATTATTTAACCAAAGAGTGATACGTACGTAACTAACACGAGTTTAAGAATGTTGCATGGGACTAACAACAATAATCTACAAATGAGTTATTAATTAACGCAATAAAACTACATCAATAGACGCGGAATCATCTCTTACTTCTTGTTAACTAACCTAATCTCTCTCTCTCTCTTGTTCATGGTGATGATGATCACACTGTCCCCAACCCAAGAAAATCGAAAAAGTGTGGTTTCTTCTTCTCATTCATGCTCTCATCAAGAATCTCATACTTCCCGGTGTGGTTTGAATCACCGAATGTAGTGGCGACCTCACGTGTCCTTGTCGAGTAGTCATCTATCAGCATTTGGTTTTCAAATATTCCATGATCATAACCTGAATTAGTTACCAAAAGGAAATATACACAAAACTTACTTTAGGATAAGAGTGTTTAAATTTTAAACCAAACCAAATTAAGTAAAAAGAGGACAAAATCAAACCTGAGAAGCAAGGAATGGGTAACATAAGGAGGTTCTGGTCATTACCAACAAGGTGGATTAAATCTGACCTAGTAGGGTTAAAATCTTTGCAAGAGTGAGGATTAGGGTTAACAAGTGGCTTATGAGGAATCATTGTCTTCCTCCTAGGGTAAACAGAAGACTGTTCTCTAAACTTGCGAGCCATTACAACATGCCAATGATTCTTCACAGAATTATCAGTCCTTCCAGGGAAAAGCCTTGCTATCATAGCCCATTTGTTACCATAAAGACTATGAGCTTGCATTAGCCTCTCCTCTTCTTCCTCCGTGAAGGCTCTCCTGTTTATCCTCGGGTCTAGTTGGTTAAACCATCGTAGCCTACAACTCTTCCCTGCTCAACATCAACACCAAGAACATCAAGAACTTCAAAATCTTGAAAAACTAATTATATATTAAGTGATAGTATTTACTTACCGGATCTTCCTTGGAGCTTTTCGGCGATGAGGTTCCAGTTTTGTGGGCCGTAGACAGCTACTAGTTCTTTCAGCTTAGCATCTTCAGCTGGTCTCCAGTGTCCTCTGGACACAGAAGCTTTTAACGAATGTCCATAGTCTCTCCTCTCAATCTTGCTGCTGTTACTGAAGTTATTTTGATTAGGGTTTAATATCTCTTCTTCTCCATAGTAGTAGTGACCTTGATGCTGATCGTTGTTAACGTTTAGAGAAAAATATTGCAATGAAGCGATCTGATCCATCAAACGGTGATGATCTTCCGACATGACAATATTGTTGTTGGTTAGTGGATGAGGTGTGGAATAAGAAGAAGACGGGAAGCAAGGTGTAATGGAGGGAGATGACACGTTAGGATGCGCTATCTCTATCCCCATTGGAGGAGAATATGTGATATTAAATATGATTCGTTATATACTATTTTGATATTTGTGTGATATTATTACGTATGGCTCTAAGTTATGTGTGTATGTATATATCGTGACCGTGTTTTCTGACAAAATGCTGTTATGCAACTGTTAAAAGGTCTTTGGACTGTCACGGACTGATTTGATAGCTGATGCGTATCTCTATTTACCCATTATAAATAACTTCGCTCTACCATTAGTTATAAGCAAAACAGTTATCAAAAAGAAGAATTTCTAGCAAAGCTGTACAATCTACATTTACATTCCAAGCTGATAAACTTCTTCACAATATATAACTATTGCGAAAAACTTGGTCAAAAAAGGAAAAAAAATCATAAATGTGAAACCGTATAGAGATTAGAATATGGTGGGAGAGAGAAAGAGTGAAGGGGAGGGAACACGCTTCCTACGTTGTGAGCAGTGAGATATGTTTGGAAAAGTGAAAGAGATAATGAAATGTTGTTAAGCATCCGTAAAACTCTTTTTCTACCTCAACTCAACTCTACTTTTTTGTTGTTGTTGTCACAAACATAACATCAATGTTTACTACTAGGAGTGCTTGTCGGACATGTAGGTTTAGTTTGTTAACCAACATGGTTAACTGATTGAACCATTACAATCTTATTTCAAGTGTAATCTATATAGGAAACCGGTTAGTTTGATCCCACTTGTGAGGAGGAGGAAACATACACGTTGAAGAAACACAAGTTCCTTCTCTTTATGGTCTCTCCACTTTCCTTTTTCCCGGCTTCTATGGATCTTTGTTTTCTCACTTTTTTCTTCCAGTTTTCCCTAATTTCACTTAAATGCCACTGACAAGTGACAAGTAACATGATACATTGATTTGTTTCCATGGCTTTTCACCAAAAGAAAAAAAAAATTATGTACAATTTATAATAGCTTTTACTTCTAATTGGTGCTTTTGTTGCTGTCATGTTGTTTGTTGATAATGAAAAGTGGAAAGTGGAAACCACTATTAAGGATGTAACTAAACATATGAATTAGTCGGTCGTAACTAACAGCCCAATAAGCCTTAAAGCACATTTGATTTGACTATTCTAAAGTTCTAACAACAACCATCATTCTCAAGCACACTGCACCTATCCTTTCAGTATCCCCATCTTATCTTTCTCTCTCTCTGGAATATTTGACATATTTTGGGTTTATAGAAAGCCCTATAAAACCTTTGTCTTACTTTGCAGTCTCCATAATGCAAATGAGATGATGTTAAGAAAATAATGAAGTCTGGGTTTCTTATAGATCACTAAACCAACTGTTTCCAAATCAGTCTACCAATTAACGATTTTTTCATTAATTATCCAACCATCTATTAACATCTTGATTCCATGAAATTCCTCTGCAATATGAATATTCATCCATCATAGTACAATTAATATACTTCCATTTTATAAACTTTCTGAATTAGTCGTGCACAGAGACTTGATAGTTGCACATGGTGTGGTAAGCGGATAAAGACAAATAAATCCAAAGAAAATAGGTGAGACTTTCAACCTAAAGTGTATGTTTTCTTATTTGACCATAAGTTAAATTGGCAGAGGAATACATTAAATAATTGGGATAATCTTTCCTCAGGTTCAGAACGGGTGTAGATTTGTACGGTCCATCTGCAGAGATTAACTGAGCAAGTCCTATGCTTTCCCATATTTTTTTCCTGGTCAATAACTTTAAATAACCTTTTGTCAAAGAAACTAACCACCTTACTGACATGAATCATTATCACTTTAGCAGAGTGGGGAATATCATAGTCAGACACGCAATTTGCACCTTCTCTCTACTTTTAATTCCCTTTTCAAGTCAATTGTACTTTTATTAATACTTCATAAAGTTAGTTGAATTAACAAAATGTTTGTACCTATGTCGGTTTTGGTCATTGGTAACCCATTGGAGTAACTTGTTTTTGTGGTGAATGTTTTCAATTATTGTAAGACGTGGGGGTAGAATTATCGGAATTAAATTTCAGTTTTAAATGATGAACATAAATGTTGGGGAAGAAAACAAAAATTCAGAAATCAAGATGCATTGGATCCAATTCATATGAACAGAAAAAAAATACGTTTCAAGTTAACTGTGGTTAACGTGTTCGACCCCACGAACCGATTTTGCGTACGATGTCGCACAAACAGGACGTGCATGCTACTCATTTTACTATAGCCACACACATTGCTCAATTATATATTGACCCATTTCGGAGCACATAGTGACATAGCCAATAGTAGCTAGTTTAATAGGCTTGCATGCTTTGGGTCCGGATAGGCATAAAGCCTCATCAATACAATAATAGAGTTCATTATATGGTTCACTTCTATTGTTGTTTTACAATATTTTTATTTTATATAACAGGAAGATTGTTACAAAAAAAAAATATATATATATATATATATATATATATATATAACAGGAAGATTCCAGATCAATAAACTAATTGTTGGGATAATTGCGGATCATGGGATTTTTTTTATTTTTAAACAGTTCATGAAATTTGAAAGATTTCAAAACAATGAACAATTAATGTCACTATCCTTCTTAATTTAAGCTATTCTGAACAATTGTTAATATACATTTAGGTATAAATTTAGTTTTACAACTATTCATTTATGCTTTGTTTAAAATAAATATAATACAATTTACTTTGAAATGGATTATGACTTAATCGATCAAAGGGATTGATACAACATTGTTGATTTGGACATTAAATCAGGAAAACAAGTGAGAATCAATTAAGTGAGCAAAAGTTTAATGTAAACTGAAAGGAGATGGAGATGGAGATGGAGATGACGACGGCTTGTACATAGGATAAAAAATGAAATAAAAAATAACGAAGAGTACTCACTGTTCTGAGAGTCAACAAAACAAACCCATGACATGAAAGTAAGCAAATAGAAAGTCTTTCAAATATGAGAAACACAAAGAATGAAATGACTCTCTTAATATCATAGCCCCGCTGTCCTTATGGTCAGAATTATTGTAACTCGTATAACACATTAAATTTGTGTAATCATTAAAATATCTTTAAAAGTCAATAGAAGGGATTTATCCCTAGTCTAATACCAAGACAGACCAGTCGTAGGGATTTATCAATAATTTATCGTTGGCCCCTACTAGTTACTTCTTGGAGGGGAGAGCTGGAGAGTTAATTTAAGGATAGGAGTATACAAAGTAAAGGTTAATTTTAGATATCACTGGAGGGGAGAGCTGGAGAGGTAACTTAAGGATAGGAGTATACAAAGTAAAGTTAATTTAGATATCACTGTGTTATTATTCTCTATATATAAAACATGACAGTGGAAAAGCTTACTATTTTTTTTTTACAAATTTGAGTGTCTATAAGTTTTTTTTTTAATGACTTTAATCTATGTAATATTTTCTAAAAAAATTTTAAGAGACCTAAGATGAATATTCGTTATTGGCTCATGACCGTTTTCTTCCCTGGAATTTGATTTCATAGATCATAAAATTACTATAGTTAAATGGGTCCGGTCCGGTCTGGTCGATCGATCAATAAAATATTATATAAAACTTGTACACAAAAATATAGCAAAGAAACAAGGTCTTGGCTACTAACACGTGTGGACAGAGCGATTACTTGGCACTTAAGGCACCGTCATGACCTCGAGTCGCATTCTAGAAATCGAAACGTTGGTATTATATGGTTAGTAGCTATTGCTCACTGGTTATTTTGGTGGTTAGCCAAAATGAGTGGTCCAATAAAACAAGCGGGTAATTCGTTGTTTCTGTTCTGTGAAGCAAAGAGAGGAATCCCACAGTTTCCTATTTTCAAGCTTTCAATTCAAACCCTAATATCCTATTTTGGCGGTCACACCTGTCGTCTCAATCGCATACCTATTTCTTCTCTCTCCTTCACGATCCTTCTTCCTCTCTACGCTCATCTTCTTTCTTCCTCATAAGGAAAGTGTTTTCCTTTTTTGTCTCAGCATCCCAATTGAAGGAAACTTTTGTTTTTGTCTTAAAGTAGGTAAGTTATCTCTTCCTGTTTTTGGTTAATCTTACATTTGATTAGGTTTGCTTTTTTATTTCCATTTTATATCTTTCTTCTTATGGGTTTTCCTAAAATTGGTAAGTTACTTGTTTTGTTGATGAAAGTATGAATTCTTGAGATGGATATTGTTTGTCTATGTTCTGAGATTATAAGAATTGAAACGTTGACACACTAAAGATCATATGATCCATACATATATTTTCTTAATCAATTTGGAGCCTAATGATCTATGCATATTAACTAAATTTTTGGAGGCCAATATGAACGTTACTTTCATGACCGGCCCTGATTAGCTATATCTTCTCTTTGTTTGTTTGAGTTTCAATTTGAGTTAGGCCAAGATTGTGTTCTGTAATTTTCATTTGAGTCTTGAATCAGTGCAAAAATAGGTTTTGATTGGTCCAAAAGTTATGCAGGATGGGCCGAGTGAAGCTAAAGATAAAGAAACTAGATAGCATTAATGCACGTCAAGGTACGTATTGCAAAAGGAAAAATGGGATCATGAAAAAGGCTAAAGAGTTATCCATCTTATGCGACATAGATGTTGTGCTTCTCATGTTCTCTCCCACCGGAAAGCCTTCCCTGTGCACCGGGAAACAAAGGTCTCATGATTATTTCTTAGTAACAAAGACTATATTTCTAGGTTTTGTGTGTTTGTTTGATGTTCAGTTTTGTGGGTTTGTTTAGTATTGGAGAAGTTATTGCTAAGTTTGCTCAACTTGCTCCCCAAGAAAGGGCAAAGAGGAAGTTGGATAATCTGGAAGTAAGTAGTTTTTGTTCAGCTCTGTCTCTTCTCATCTCCTAAAGAAGCACTAATACTTTTTTTTTATTGCAATACCTCAGGCCTTGAAGAAAACATTTATGAAGCTTGACCACGATGTAAATATATCAGAGTATCTAGACAGAAGGTGTGTATTAATTACTACTCCTACTACATACATCAAGAATCTAAATTTTCAGCTTAGTGTTGTTGAGTTCTACTGATACGACATTTTTTTATCTTTTCAGTAAACCAACGGTTGAGGTATGTACCATACACGGTGATGTTAATGATGATGCTGAAGTGTTTCCTAATTCAACATGTCTTTGCAACCGGAACTTTCAGGTTTTAAGCCAACAAGTCAGGTTTCTACAAACACACTTATCAGAAATACACACAAGACTAAGGTGCCAAGGTCTTCTTATATACTTCCAGCTAAATATTTCCTTTATTATTTCTTTAATTTTTGAGTTATATTTATGGTCTTACGATATAGCTATTGGACTGAGATCGAGAAGGTTGGCAGCATTGATGATTTGCAGCAACTAGAGAATTCAATAAGGCAGTCTTTGTATCAAATCCGTGTTCATAAGGTACACTCCATCTCCCAAATGATTAGTTAAGGTTTTCATTTCATAAAAATTATGCATTATATTGGGAACCACAGGAGAATGCACTGCAACACCATCAGCAGCAGCAGCAACTTATGTCCATTGAATGCAAAAACGAGGTAGAGAATCAGGTTTGAACCATTAACTATCATTGTTTTGGATAATTATGTACTAAGAAGCACACACAATGTGTTAATGCATGTGCAGAGTGACATAGATCTGGATTTTGGAATTGATATAGAGCAACAGCTTGAGAATTTCTCATGGGTTCGTACTGATGAAAACATGAATGCTCCTCTAAAAGAAGACCAAGACCCTAATTTGCAGTTTTATCATACGTATAAGGACGTAACTTGCTCCGCAAGTTCATCTTTTGAAAGTTACTCAGGGCTCTTTGGTAAAAACTCGGATATCAAAGCACCAATGCCAGAAACTGGTGGCGTTCCTGGGATATTAGCTGATCAAAACATGCAATACAGCAATCTCAGTTTCCTAAATGATCCAAAGCTTCAGCAACTAGCTGAATGGAATCTATTAGGGAGCCCTGCGGATTACTACGTTAACCAGATCTTGGAAGCTTCTTACAGGCCTCAGTTTGGAGGAAACTGGCCTTCTTCTGAGACGTTAACTTATCCTTTTACCGTGTCTGATGATCCTATGTTTTCACGGGTAAAACAACGGTTTTGCTCATCATTCATTTGATTGTAGATCTTGTTTTGCTGACTGTTTCTGACATATCTAAACATGCAGCAGCAAAACCTATAAGTAGCTCTAGGAAAACACTGAAGCGTTGATCCGAAGACGGGCCTTGTAATGATCGAGCAGTCACGAGAATGCGAAAGAAGCTAGGATTGGTGAGTTACAAGGGAAACAAAAAAAAAAGTACTAAAAATATATGATACAACTCCAAGTTGTTTGTTAGGTACCGAACTTGGATCATTCATAAATTGTAAGAAAAAAATAATGAGTAATTCTAGAGTATAGTTTTGTGATTGGGTTTGGATTTGGATTTTATAGAAAAAGGTTATAATATCATCATTATTAAAGTTTTTTATTAATCTCTTTCAAATTATATTATTTTTTATCATCAAATTATATTAACTAGGTTAATACCCGCGCATTTACGCGGGAAGAGTACTATATATATAAACTATTTTGTTTTATTTTTATTTTGTGTTCTTTTATTTATTATAAAATAATAAATATATATATTGAATAATTAAAAAATCTGTAACTATTATATATACAATTAATTTAGCGAGCACTTAAATAAAATAATTATACTTTTATTTACAATCACTTTATATAAGTAAATCTAATTAATAAATGATTTTAACATATATGTTTGTTCAAAAAATGATATTAATATATATATATATATATATATATATTATACTTTTAATTTGGATCACACTTACATGGTTTTATGATCATTTGTATATTTTTATGATAAAAATTATAAAATAGTGATAACATCATTTTTAATATGAGAGATTTAATATCTACAGTAATTTATCATCGTGTAAAAAAATTAAATTCAATTTTTTCATTAAAGTATTAAGTTCTCAATACTTGTTCAAGGAAATTTTGGAATTAAATATTTATGTATTTCTAAATGGTATTAGTTTAATTTAAATATCACTAAAATATATATATGTATATATACATCTAATTTAAATATCTATTAAATGATATTTCTTACTCATTAATTATATGATTGTTTGTATCGTGCTATAACAAAAAAAAAAAAAATTATTAATCAAAAAAATTATATATGAAATTTTTAAAGTTTTTATTAATATATAGTCATTTATAAAAATTAAAAATATAACATATATAAAAAAATCTATTTTTTTTTATATAGTTTTTTTTTGGTAAACTTGTTACATAGTTAATGTTATTGTTTACTTTATTTTTACAATATAAATTTAAGAAAAAGAGTAGAGGCTATACAATTTTTATCAAATCTTTCATATATATTTAAATCATTAATTGTCATATATAGATATATATTATAACCATATTTGGTAATTATGTAAATTTTATTTAAGAAAATAATGATTATAATTAATAATAGTTTTATGCTTAGTTTGATAAAAAGTATATTCTATGTTTATATGGACCAACATTTTTCTCTAGTAAATTTGAAAAGCAATCTCATGATAACATGTGTCTACTAAATCATGTTGTAATACTTCTCAAATAATATATAGGGGATATTTAATTAATTTTCTTAGAAAACTGTAAAAGAAATACATATGGTAGCACCAAAACATTTTTTTGTTAATTACTAAGACATATTCTTGTCTAATAAGTAAATAAATTCTCAAAATAGCATTTATTTTATATCTATACTATTAAAAGAGAAGGAGTCTAAATAAATCTACTTAAAAAAGTTGTTTGGACCCTTTCATTATACTAACATTTTTTTTTTATCTTTCCTTATATTTCTCTAACAATATTGTACAATAACATTATATCATATAACTTACCTTATATTTCTCTAACAATAAATTAGTTAATATTCTTATTTGTTATACATTACTCTTATCGGTCAATATTTTTATTTCTCCACAATACATTATTATAACCTTATACCATATAATTTCATAATACGTGACTGATTTCACACATTAAACAAAAAATATATCATTTGCTTGAGCCACCAACTGTGCAACAGTACCCTCTATCATTTCCATTGATTAATTTTCATAGCTGATGTTTGATAAATAG